GTAGTATATGGGAAAAACTATGTGAGAAGTATATGGGAAAAACTATGTGGGAAGTATATGGGATAAATTATGTGGAAAGTATTTGGGAAAAACTATGTGGGAAGTATATGGGAAAAACTATGTGGGAAGTATATTGGAAAAACTATGCGGGAAGTATATAGGAAAAATTATGTGGGAAGTGTATGGGAAAAATAATGTGGGAAGTATATGGGGAAAATCTACGTGGGAAGTATAACCTGTGTGAAGAGTCCCCCAACATTGAAAAACATAAATTTTCTATATCTCATTCGATTGCTCATCGTTTGCACATGTATGCACATTTCGAATTTTCGTTTACACACTTCTAGTAAAAAAGTTATTAACAAAATAAATTTCGGGGGGCCATCTTCTCACTAGCCCCCCAACTATGAGTAAATTAAATAAAAAGTAGCTCAATTGATAGATATTCGTTTGCACATTGCCAAACAAGTCGATTTTTCATTTGCACACCTCTAGTTAAAAAATTATTAACAATTAAAGTTTCAGAAGCAAGCGACTTCGGCATGATTAGTCTCTATGATTAGTCGACTTTAATCACTATTAATTTAAAAACTATTATAGACTCGGCATTTTCGTATTAGAATTTTCGTCTTATTTTTAAGTTAGAAATATGTCATAAAAATTTCGGTCGCGAGTTGTGGGACACCCTGTATATATATTTACATTTGGTGAAAGCGAGATAGAACATTTTAATGCAGTCTAGTGCAGCACCGAAGAGCAGATCTATGATTGGTTACCTACTTAGCTCGCGCATGTGCAGCTCAATTTCGTATACGCTAACATCAAAGATGTCGACAGGGAGTTGCGCTATTGTGGGCGGGTTGTTCCAACTTCTTGGTAAGCTAAACTGATAGTTAAATCGTGTGTCTGATCTTGTCTAAAACTTGAAGGAAGAAATCCTGTACGTACTGTGTTAAAAACCATGTTACCCATTGATAAGGGTTCATAAATCTGATTATGTAGTTCCATATTCACACGCCTAGAGGTAGCTACATCTAAAATATGGCCGCGCTCAGGTGTCTTTCAAAAAAGCATGCATCTGTCGGATGAAAGTTCATTGAGAATGTTTTTTAACAAAAATACGTAGGAAATTCAGCAATATTCAACAATCGATTGTTGACTACTAATTCTTGTTCAAACTGTCTGATTCTGATGCGGTGACAAATATCGAAAATGTTTCAACGATGCTATTCGCTTGCGTTGCCGGCGCGACCCGTTGCGATGAATGTAATCACACGATTTATTTCAAAGAGTAATGGATCAAGACGATGTCTGTCGAGAGAACTCGAGAAAAGCGACGAGAAAATTTCCTCTAAGCCGGATGTTTTGTCGGAATCGGCGATAACCGAGAATGAGAATTACGCCTTAGAACGATATAACTCGAAACCGAATAGTATAAATACAGCTACATTTGCTCACGAGAGTTGTCTTGACGATCACGAAGTCACCCTGCCACATCCCCTGGATACGTGCACTGAGGATCTGTCGGATGTCGGTCCGTATCTCACACCAACTTTCACCTTCGCCAAGTATGCAAACAAATCCCGCACGATTCAGGAATTGGTGAAGCTTGGAGTTGCTTTATATAAGTTCGAGTCAAAAGAGGGGATGGTGCAATACATTTTGAATCTTGACTTCGAGCGGGATGTAAAGCCATACATAAGGTTCCTACATGATTGTGGGGTGCCTGCCGATTACTTAGGTCATTTCATTACAAAGAATCCGAACATTTTCAAGGAGGATCTGGATGATTTGCACACGAGGATAAGATATTTGAGGGCACACAGCTTCGATGTGTCGATGATCAAGACGATACTCTGCAAGAATCCCAACTGGCTATTGTACAGTACGAAGGATATAGATGGTAGGCTTGGTTACTTCCAGACCAACTTTAAACTTAATGGTAGCGAAGTAAGACTTCTGACAGTTAAGGGACCCAAGGTGGTAACTTACAAAATGGTGCATCTACTGGAAAATACATTCAGCATCAAGGAGGAGATGGAATTTGATCAAATGCAAATTAAGAAATTGCTTCTCAAATTGCCTAAAATATGGGTTAAGAGTAAGTGTGTATATTGATATGATTTGTGAACAGTTCTTATGTCTTAAATTCTGCTTTCAGATCGCGACAGATTGCTGAGTACATTCGAGTACGCACATAACGAAATGCAGCTGCAACGTGATTTTATCGTACAAATGCCGAATATTTTACTTTGTAGAAAAACTAGACTCCAACAGAGACATTTATTCCTAATGGAACTGAAAAAAGCGCAATACGATCCTTCTAAACCGATGTATGTCTCGCCAAAAGCTTTGATTGGCGGCACAGATGCGGACTTCTGTAGAGACGTAGCAATGACATCCATTGAGATTTACAATGCATTTCTCAAAACATTTTAATTTAAAACAGAATAATATAATATAAATATAAATGTAAATAAATGTTAACAGATACCTTTTGTTTTTTGAATTATTTCATGGTTCAACGTTTTTACAAGATCTTAATAGGCTTTCGTATGTTTTACTGATTTTTATATACACATTACACGTATAAATAGGTTTTTTTTTACATCGCATTCGTTAAAATCGCAATTATTTTTCAAATAAAAAAGTGTAAAAGAAGGTAAATATTCAACCCACATCTCATTATTTAATAAAAAATGATGTATGATTTGTTCCTCTTTTTTATACTGCACAAAAGATACTGTAAGGTATTCCCAATTGTACTTACGGCGCTAGTATATCTACGAGACTTTTAATATAAATGTGAGATGAAACGAATCACGCTAATGCGGAATGAAAATTCAGAAAATTCAGAATCGGTCTTCAATGGAGAGTCGAACATTCTTAGTAATACTTTTCATGATCCTTAATCAATCATAACTTAATTAATTCGCCTAAGGCCGTGTCGCACCGACGCTTAACATTAATCCTAATTTTCTTTCAGCGACTCGTCTGGAAAAGCTATTTGAACTTCCCGAGGTTGATTGATGTCGAAGGTGGATAGAATTAGGATCGACGCTGCTGCAACCGCCTGGAGTGTTTAATTGTATTTCCCTAACTCTATCTTCTTCTGTATCGCGCGCACCGAATGATAGAGCAGCGAGTCGATTAGACCGGCCACAGTGAACACGCCGCCAATGATCGCGCAAGTGTTCGTCGCGAAGTGCCCGAACGACTTCGCCTTCTCCGTGTACTTCACCATGAGCGGGCTCAGTTCGTAACTGAAGAATATACCCGGCATCCCGGACTCGCCGGTAATCAGGGACACTTGCTTCGCGTGCCGCGTTACGGAGAACTGGTTCGTGACGAGGGTCGAACCGTCCGCCCGGACGTACGTCGTCGGGACGATTTTAATGTAGTGATAAAACATCATAGCACCTGAAACAAACGGAAGAGCCGAGTCATTACATCAGATTAATTACATTGTTCTTTCTATGTGCAAATATATATATATATATAT